CAATTGAAAACATACGCCAGGCGCATGGAAAAACGCTTTGGTGGACACACAGCCTAAGAATCAATTCTGCGTGATCCGCAAGCACTGTGATTGGTCTGCCAGAGCCCCTCCCTTGGGTTTCATACGCTCCGTCTGCACGTGTAATAGCACGTCAACGCGGACAACGACACAGATGTATAAATGTATAAAACTGAAGCATAACCTAATGTAGAGGCTACGGTGTAGGTCCGACGCAGAAGTATAAACCAACCTTAAGGGCGAACAAGTTTTCCACTCACATTCAACTCATTTTTGCGTGGTTCTGCGTGGGAAGTGCTTCATAAATCACTACACTGCCAATGAACAATGACTTTTTTTGGTATCAAAATTAGCTGAAATAGGCTATCCAACCCGATCTCACGACCAAGTCGTACGAATTCAACGAATGATTAAAAAGTGGCTAATTCGTAACAATTCATACGACCTCACTCGTACGAATTAATACGATTTTCCTAAATCGTACATATTTTACGAATTGGCCAATTCGTATGAATTCGTACGAATGACCTACCCCTTACCCCGCCCCTAAACATAACCATCACGTGGGTTTAGACAAATCGTACGAATTAGTACGAGTGAGGTCGTACGAATTAGTACGAATTAGCCACTTTTTAATCATGCGTCGAATTCGTACGAATTGGTCGTGAGATAGTGTTGGACCGAACCTAAGAAATAGAAAGACAACAAATGCTAATCCCAGCTAGCAGCTAACTTTGGCTAACATTCTGGCAAGTTTTTTAACGTTCTGACCAAATGTTCTTCCCTTGGGCAAACAGAAAATTATCTGCTCTGATATAATGTTTTCAAAATGTTGGCACAAAAATGAATAACGATTAATTAATCATTCTTTGAATAGAAAAGAGGTGGTAAAAACTTCAAACAACACTTTTACATTAACATTACGTAAGAAAGAGTACAAAGTAATATTACTGAAATAGCATATTAACTAGCCTATATTGTTGATGTATTTACATATTATTAGGCAGTAATTATACATGCGTAACATGCACCAATCCAATGTTTCAAATCACCTTTCGATCGATAACATCAGTAACTTTGTGAAGTACAGTCGTAATTAGAAAATCTTTTTCATGCTAATTAAATCAAACCCATCAGGCAGTGAAGGAAGATACATTAGCATTATTGAACCTGTAGTCAAGGCGCCTCTACAAATGTGATGTCTCGGCTCTTCTTTGAGCGACCGTAATTCAAAGTCATTACTCTTCATGTACAGTCGATTATGCAGCGCAACTGCTGAAAGGTTCTTTAAAGGTTCGTCCATGTACAGCAAGACTGGCTTGAATAGAGGCTCAGGTTCTGGGGCTTGACAGTAATGTCCCAAACATCTGAACAAAAGGCCTGGTTTATTTGTATCCATCTTCTCAGTGCCCACAGTGTGAACGCCCATGGGGTCGCCCCTTCCCCTTCATCCTCCACCCAAAATACACACCATCTGCACTGAAGGAGACGCTCATGCTCAATCCAACTGGAAGAATTATACACGTACTGTATAATCTTGACGAACAAAAATGTGTTCTACGCACGTTGTGTTATCGGTCCTGTTAGGAAAACGTCATTTCTGAATCTGTTCTCAAAACATTGAAATGTCCCGGTTTTAAAATGTACTATGGGTGTAGCAGTGGGTTTTTATCTTTGTTTTGGTTTTGTTATAATATTGGACTTTTTACACAACACAGTTTTCATCTAAAAATGAATTGCATTTTGGGGCCATGAAAACGCAAACTTTTAAAAATGGGTTTCACAGTGCAAGTTTTTGAAAGCGATAATGTTATCATCCCCTTGTAAACTACAAAAACATGAATTCGTTAAAACGGTGACAACACACTCATGCGTATTACATGTTCAGTCTATACACAGCAAATTTCAGGAGTTGAAAAATCATGAGTTAGGCAAAAAAGTGTGAAAGAGTTAATTTTTTGGAGTTATTTTTTTAACTCTGACTACGGTTTGTGTTATTCCCCGGCTGTGTTGTATTTTGGAGTTCATTCATTGGTGTTCAGGAGCGTGTTTTAAATCTACACCTGGAGTTATTTTTGAGAAGTGCGCCACGACACGACCCTGGCGCTGCACAAAGGAATAATGTACTTACGCTTCGTCGTGAGGTAGGTAAAAGTGTAACTTATATAAAACTATTTAAAAAATACATTTTCTGACAAACACGTTTGGTCACTAAATAATTTGTTTACTAATTAACGTCAACGACCATGACAAACTTGCTGTTGAACGCATGTTTAAATTGCTTGTTTCAAATTTTGAAATGGCTATTTGCGTGGGTTTTTTGTCGATGTAAACGAGTTAACATTACCTAACCGTCTTTCCATTCACCGTGTTTCTGAAAATGAGTGTTTTGCCGTGAAATTGATGCATCAATGCATTAGGCCTACAGGCAATTGAATTGTAACAGCTATGTAACTTAGGCTATATACCCACGATGTGCGTGATTTTCAGCTTAGCCTATATATTTTTGCATTCTCAATGAATGGTGCTAGATTATATTATGCCTCATGCTGTTGTTTTTGTGATCTTCAGACGACTGTCCTGCAGCAAGCGGTTGAAAGTTACTCCTCCTCAAATCTGAACCAAATGGATTTGCTCAAATAAAGGCAGTAAATTAAGAGTATGGTGTCCAGTGTAGTAATTTCCACACAAAACATTATATTGTGTTAAATAAATGTTAACTCTAAGAAGTGTTAAACTAAACTGGTAACACTGGTAATGAGTTCATATAATTAATTTTAGAGTTACATTTACTCTCTGTAGGATTAGTTTTTTAACTCCATTTTTAACTCTGAAAAAAAGTGTTAAAAATTCAACTCCAAGAGCAGAGTTATTTTAACTCTGCGCTGGAGTCTAATTAATTGGTCTCACATGTACACTTAGATTGAGTTGATTTTAACTAACAGGGAGTTTATTCCAAAAACCAGAATTTGCTGTGTAGACCTTATGTAGCCCCGCCCCTTTTCAGCGTTGCGCTCGTTGTCTTTTGACTTCCGGTCTGTATCTCCACAGCGATCTTGAATGAACTGCTCGTAAAACATTTCCCGGTCGACATTTGTTAAGACCTCTACTTTACAATGATCATGATAAACATTACAATGCTCATGATAACTTTTATTAACTCTACAATAAGTAAATCCACTTCACCAGCTAATTACTCCTCGACAGCGATGCCATAGAAATATACAGATGACCGCAAAACCGGAAGTTCAAAGACAATATTCTAAAGATGTCGGCGCCCACGTTTCTCTGGTGCATAAGGTCTATACTCACCTAAAGGATTATTAGGAACACCTGTTCAATTTCTCATTAATGCAATTATCTAATCAACCAATCACATGGCAGTTGCTTCAATGCATTTAGGGGTGTGGTCCTGGTCAAGACAATCCCCTGAACTCCAAACTGAATGTCAGAATGGAAAAGAAAGGTGATTTAAGAAAGGTGGCATGGTTGTTGGTGCCAGACGGGCCGGTGTGAGTATTTCACAATCTGCTCAGTTACTGGGATTTTCACACACAACCATTTCTAGGGTTTACAAAGAACATACAGTATCTGGCAGTCCTGTCCAGAATGCTAGAGGTCAGAGGAGAATGGGCCAACTGATTAAAGCTGATAGAAGAGCAACTTTGACTGAAATAACCACTCGTTACAACCGAGGTATAAGGTGGAGTCAGAATTTGGCGCAAACGAAAAGAGAACATGGATCCATCATGCCTTGTAACTGTGCAGACTGGTGGTGGTGGTGTGATGGTGTGGGGGACGTTTTCTTGGCACACTTTAGGCCCCTTAGAGCCAACTGGGCATCATTTAAATGCCACTGCCTACCTGAACATTGTTTCGGACCATGTCCACCCCTTTATGGCCATCGTGTACCCATCCTCTAATGGCTACTTCCAGCAGGATAATGCACCATGTCACGCAGCTCGAATCATTTCAAATTGGTTTATTGAACATGACAATGAATTCACTGTTCATGACTATGAATTCACTGTGCCCTGGAGGTGCATCACCAATCCACAAATCTCCATCAACTGCAAGATGCTATCCTATATCGATATGGGCCAACATTTCTAAAGAATGCTTTCAGCACCTTGATGAATCAATGCCACGTAGAATTAAGGAAGTTCTGAAGGCGAAAGGGGGTCAAACACAGTATTAGTATGGTGTTCCTACTATTTGAACTTTTACATTTCCCCTCGTCAACCTTTGTGGAGAATGGGAAAGTTAGGCTACTCTCGCGATTGCTTCTCATTTCAAGTAATTTCATTTCCACCCTGATAGTCTAATTCTGAACTGAAACCAGCCTACAGCAATAGATCCTTACTGTAAATCGTCTGTGAAATGACTATTTTAGAACAAGACTTTTACTTCATTGTGTTACAAATGTTGTTCATTTTTAAGATGCACAAAGCTAAAATAAAATACAACTTTGATCCAGGTAGAATAATGAGACCAAAGACGTTTCCAAGTGCCAGGAATCAGAACGTATGAGGTATAATACGAGCGTTGAAATGTGTTGATTTTTTTCCCCCATTGATTATACTGCCATCGTGTGGACATTGATTGTACTGTAAACTGCAAAAGTAAACTACGTAGCCTAATAATAATGCTATATAATAATTAAACTACGTGTATTTATTTTTTTTTTAAAGAAAAGCAGTTTATCTGCGGTGAATGAAAACAAATCTAATGAAATAGTAAAATGTAAAATGTTACTGTTCATAAAAATTACAAAACATTATTTGCGGCCAGGTCAAAAATGTTGTTGTAAGGGTAACGCCTCCTTTTCGCGCACCAGCCAATGAAAAGATGCTAACACCAGGCCGTCGTCGACTCGTCATTCCTGGGATTTGTAGTTCCACGCTACATTTGGCTCTATTCGCAGTTAACCAGTCGAGGCAGTTATCGGACTACAGAGCGCAACTAGCGGACTACAGGAGCGCGCGAGGGACTGACTGACAGCTTGACATCACGGTGGCTGGCAGTGGCACTTCGTGCGTCTGAAAGCACGGCTCTGAACTGACGTATTATTTTCCACCTGGGAGCGGACGAAAGTTGACAACTTTGAAAATGCAGTCGGAATCGGGAATCGTGGCCGACTTTGAAGTCGAAGATGAATTTCACGAAGAGCCTAAAACGTATTACGAGCTGAAGAGTCAGCCGCTGAAAAACAGGTCTGTGAGTAGAGCGTTTGACAGCTTCTGAAATAATCTAATGCATGCTTTACAAAGTCTGGTATGCTCAGAGAAGTCTGTGACTCTATTTTTATTTAGTTTTTTACCATTTAATTATTTATTATATTAGTCCTTCTAATGAGAATCAGCTGCGCTCACTCCATCCACGTCCTGACGCGACGCGACAGGGTTTACTGCCGCGCTCTAGTCGCGTCGCGTTTCGTGCCGCGTATATGGTGTGTTACAGTAGACAACGCCTTAGGATACAGCATCATCATCAAATATTTACTCATGTAGTAGATGTGTATGAAGATCTCACTGTTGGAACTGTTTAAATATGTGCACTGAACTTTGGTGACTCTTTCTAATGACTCTCAAACCTTTATGCAATGCAGATCAGTAGGCTAGTTTTTCCCCAGGAGAGCCCGAGGCTAGTTTTCATTCTAGGCAATATTTTAGGGTGGATTATTTTTGGAAGTTAATTTATTAGTTAATTGCAGTGTATGTCTTGCAGCAAAACTGAAATAGTAAATTTGTAACACAAAACAATGAGTGAAAACAGCAAATACCCAGACAGCAAGTGTCAACCCAGATCCGGGCCACATCTGGTACATGGTGATTCAACGCTTACCCCAGATGTGGGCCGGATCAAGGCTGACACTATTTTGCTGTCTGGGTATGTAAAATGCAGTACATTGAAACATGGTTTTGTCTAACAAATAATGTAATTTGTACATTGTATAAGTTTATATAAGTATTTTTAAACACTCGACAGCTTGCTATGACTTGAGAACACAGTTGAATCTTTTAGTTAAAATCTACCAACATAATAGATGATCATGTACTACATAGTTAACACTTGCCTGGATGCATGTCAGTGTAGTTTTGTGTGTGTGTGTGTTACCAACACTTGTTGCAAAATAAGATGTTACTGGATTTTTAACTTTGTCTGAATCCAACATACACACACACACACACACATATATATATATATATATATATATATATATATATATATATATATATATATATATAAAATGTGCATTTATACGTTTGACACAAAACCTTTTAGTTACTAGTTGTCCTGTGACAACTAGCCCCGGTCTCTCCTATATGAACATATTTGGATCAACCTTTCTGGATCTGCATCCGATCTGCATTACATAAGATAATGGAAGTTGTTGTGTAAAGTGCTCCCAACAGAGAGTTTCCTATGAGATCTTTACATATTTATGAAATCTAAAAAACAAAACAACAAGTTTATAATAAATTCTCATTATATGGCCAGGTATGAGTGACAGGCGTAACGGATGCTCATTAATTTATCTTGTTTTGTTTCAATCTGCAGCATTAAGGAAAGCCACTGAAATGAGTTTACAGTGAGAACTGAGACAAAGAGGTTTAACAGACAAAGTATTTGACTTAGCGCTGCTTAGCTTATCAGATTCAGGCAAACGTTTAAAGGGTTAGTTCATCCAAAAATGCAAATTATGTCATTAATGACTCACCCTCATGTCATCCCAAGCCCGTAAGACCTCCGTTTATCTTCGGGACACAGTTTAAGATATTTTAGATTTAGTCCGAGAGCTTTCTGTCCCTCCATTTAAATTTATACGGTATACTGTCCTCGTCCAGAAAGGAAATAAAGACATCATCAAAGTAGTCCATGTGACATCAGTGGGTTAGTAAGAGTGTTTTAAAGCATTTGAAAATACATTTTGGTCCAAAAATAACAAAAACTACGACTTTATTCAGCATTGTATTGTCTTCCGCTTCTGTTGTGGATCCGCGTTCAGTGACGCTGCTGACATAAGATGCTGCTGACGTGTATCTGTATCGTGTATCCACAAGTCAGCAGCGTCTTACGTCGTCAGCGCAAGGGCACAAAATTTAAAATATGTATATATATATATATATATATATATATATATGAAGAGTTCAGATGCAAAAGCCTCTAAATGCCATTTGAAATTTTCTTCTTTAATAATGATTTTTATCAAACTTGTATATTTAAGTTCAGTAATTTCACTAACTTAAATATACAAACTTAAATATACAAGTTTGATAAAAATCATCATTAAAGAAGAAAATTTCAAATGACATTTAGAGGCTTTTGCAACTGAACTCTTCATATATATATATATATACATATTTTAAATTTTGTGCCCCTGCGCTGATGACGTAAGACGCTGCTGACGTGTGGATACATGATACAGATACACGTCAGCAGCGTCTTACGTTAGAAGCGTCACTGAACGCGGATCTACTATAGAAGGGGAAGACAATACAATACTGAATAAAGTTATTATTCAGTTATTTTTGGACCAAAATGTATTTTCGATGCTTCAAAACACTCTAACTAAACCACTGATGTCACATGGACTACTTTAATGATGTCTTTATTTCCTCTCTGGACAAGGACAGTATATCGTACATACATTTTCAATGGAGGGAGAGAAAACTCTCGGACTAAATCTAAAATACCTTAAACTTGCGGTCTTACGGGCTTGGGAAGATATGAGGGTGAGTCATTAATGACAAAATTTTTGGGTGAACTAGCCCTTTAAGCGAATCAGAGATGGCAACAAGATCCGAGCTGCTAGAAAAAATTTCACACGCTTTCTGTCAACTTCTGTATGAATTCTGGACTGAATTAGATGTATATAGTGGACGTGTCATACTTTGCTCATGTTGCGACTGCAGTGTGTGAACTGTAAGCTGATGTGGTTGTTATATACAGTATGAGCACATGCAGTCACACACTGAAGCTTTCGCTCTAGACCGTTCCACCGTGACAGAGATCCGTGAAGCTACGTTGGCAGACGGAGAGGTCTTAATTTAGATGAGGCAGACACTCAGGCCACCATGAGGTGAAAATTAACAACATAAATTTAGAAGTGCAGGCTAATACCTCAGATGCAGCTGCGTTTTTGGGGGTTATTTTGGTTTGTTGCTAAAATATTGAGCGTAATAACTGGTGTTGGATCACAATATGCAAAATTTTACACTAAAGTTCTGTTATTTAGCATTTAGTGTTTTGGATGTATGTTTTTATAGGGTTCTCGTGATAATGGAAAACCAATATCAGGGATTTGTGTGAATTTCCGGCAAGAAATAGCTTTTTTATCACGATCCTCTGAAATGCCTGGAGAAGTCATGGACATTCAGTAGGCAGAAGCTGTGGGAACCCTGTTTGTTTGGCTCAATCTAGTTATGCTTTCAATTACTGTGCTTGAAATGTTTTAGCACAACTCATAATAGTCGATGAATGTTTAATGCTGCAAGTGCAGTTGTATCAGGCGTTACAGCGCCTTGTTCCACCTCTGAGGGTCCCAGACTTTTTACTTCAAGGCCCAAGAATACATGTTGCATTAACTATATTATATTAAAATAATTTAAAATTAAATTCACAGTTGTAAAGTAAAATAAAAGTTATTATAACAAATATTTTCTATAAATTACTATTACTATTAGTTTTTTTTAAAATTTCAGTTATTTAAATTGCAATAACAATATATTTGTTCTTACTTAGAATTCATATTTTATTTATTTTTTTTTATATTTTTTAGAACCAGATTGATACATAATCACAAATGCTGGCCTACAAAACATGCACAGAAAATTGCATTTTAAATCACTCTTTAAATTTCTTTTTAATCAGAAAAATAACAATTCGACTTTTGCTCAAATCATTCAGCTATTGTTTCTGCTATTGCCTTACAGTTGCAATGTAACATAAAATAATTATTATATAATTTTTCTTAAGTACTCATTTTTTCTTTTTACAGTGACTTAATTTTTTAATTTTTTATATTTTTTATTTAATAATAGTAATAATAATTATTGTTGTTATTATTATTATTATTAGAGACCCAAGTATCATTTTCGGTCCAATAATTATTTCATCATTATTTAATCATCGCCCGATTGTTTAAAAACTGCCGATAATCAGGGCCAGTTATATCCTGCCAATCAAAAGAGGGCGGAAAAACGTGTCAGATTGCAACTCATAATGTGCGTAAAGAAAATAAGATAAAAGGTAAGAGGATAATAAATAAAGCCATTCTTTTTTGTTTGTTTTTTTGCACACAAAAGGTATGCTCCTCGCTTCATGACATTAAGGTAGAGTCACACAAACTATTTTAACAATGTCTTTACTACCTTTTTGGGCCTTGAAAGTGGTCGTTTTTTAGCCATCTATTAATGGGTCAGAAAGCTCTCAGATTTCATCAAAAACATCTTGATTTGTATTCCGTAGATGAACGAAGGTCTAACAGGTTTGGAACAACTTGAGGTTGAGTAATTAAAGGGATACTCTTTTTTTGTTTTGTTTTTTGGAAATAGGCTCATTTTACAACTCCCCCAGAGTTATAAGAAAATCGGCTGAATGGATTCGAAAACGGTAAAACTCAACTGTTTAACTCTGGGGGAGTTGTAAAATGAGCCTATTTCCAAAAAAAGTGGAGTATCCCTTTAAGGGCAGAATTTTCATTTCGGGTGCACTATCACTTTAAAAGCCCTGCCGTGGATTTCCGCCTGTCGCCATTGGCATTTCGGACTGGTGTCAAGATATCAGAAGTAGTTTTGCGTTCTTGATATTGATGGTAGGAACAGATGTTATCATGAAGCATGCTGGCCGTCATTGAGTACATCCTCACATCCTTGACTCGCTCACTGGATGAAGTCCAACACTCCTCACAATCAGGGGCGGAGCTAGACTCTCAGTACAGTGGGGGCGGAGCTTCATCATGGGGCCCTCTGCTACCAAGTAATTTTAAAATTAAAACCGTTAAAAAAACGTAAAATATTTGATGAATGCTTTGCATATGTAAGAATGTGTCACTTGTTGAGCCAAGTTAATATATTAAATAAAACACAAAGAAAAGCCAAATTGTTTTACAAGTTTGTATGACGAACAAAGAAAACAGTTTGCCAGTCAAGTAAAAATGTTTCAGCACCACAGACAGCGATATCTCATTGACAGCGATGGTGCTCGTTAG